ATCTAAACTGGATTCGTACCTGATTTTACACATATACTCTGCGGTACGTTTATTCCCAAAATGGTTGGCTGGGGAGCGCCTCCTCTTTCCTCCGCCTCCAATTTATGACTTGGAGGACGAATTGAATTCCACAATGGCTTTCCGCTTTTTCCCTACTACAGATGATCAAGTACTGCCTTGAACTTCGACTCTAATTGCTTTCATTAAACACTGGAGATCATAAGTCGAGGTCAAGATTAAGGGATTGAACTAATGATGTTTTGCAAGCAGGTTATATATTATGGAAATAATGATGTTTTAAATGCATATTCTATATCAATAATGGAATTAAGGCATAGCCACCTTAAGTCAAAAGACTTGTTTAATATATTTGTAGAATGCTATGTATTGGTACTGGTCAAAACATCTTAATTTGACCTTAACTTATGCATTCTATGGAATTAGAAAGAGAGTTGATGGTCGAGCCAGAAGTGCATGGGTTATGATATATACGAATTGTCTAACTAATTACGGGGAAACGCTGGAAGCTCTGATACGCACCTGTCGGTCTTCCTTAATTCGTCGCTGGACGTGGGCAGGGAAAATAAAGGTTCGGATGGGCTTACATCCAACTGCTTTAGATTATTGATTTTTTGCATTCTCTAAATTACTGGAATTGGTGCAGTGGTGTAAGCTAATACGTGATTAAGGATAAGATACCATTATTGCAATTATTTTTTTCAACTTGATTTTCCCACGTTAGTTTTAGGGTACTGGAAATTGATATTTAACGATATGCTTGCTAAAAACTGTTTGGAACTACTGTTTTTTGAACTTTTCGCATTGAGCTTTTAGCAACCAGTGTAGAGACACATTCTAACATAGTGGGTATGAGCGAAAAAGGCAAATTTAGCCAATCTAAAGAGCTGTGCTTTTTTACATATTAACTTTAACAAAACTGTTTACCTAACTTTAAACCTGTCCTGGGTAACTGATTATGCGAGTTAGTTTTAAGAAGGTTACGAAAAAGTTCAGGAGGTAGTCAGAGATGGAAACTCAGCAAATCGAGAAAGTTAAAGCTACCAGCAGAGTAGTGAAAAAGGATAACGCTATAGAAAATTGCCAGAAATTTTGTGATCTTGCCTCTTGCCGAGGCGACTTACAAAGGTGACTCTGCAAATTGAGTTTGTAGATGAAAAGTTACTGGACAGAGTTGCAGGTGCAACGCCAACATCAGATTGCCACTATCCATTGTTTCGGGAAGCAATGTAGATATTTTAATCCATCAATCATCCAAACGTTTGATCTGAACAACATATCAAAAAAATTGCTTCAAACGGTTACCGATCATCAAAACATTGATATTAATGTGCTAGTTTATTCGCGTATTTAATCGCGAAGCGCATTTAATCAGAATGCAGGCAGTTATGTAGGGCAACGAGTTATATAATGAATTGCTTCAAAATGATGAAGTGCGCTTTAACGCAAAATGCGCAATTCCATGAAGAAGTACAAACGAATATTTGTTTAGATTCACACATCTCTGCAAAGTTGAATGCACATAAGGATGAAAGAAATTTTTGAGGCCAAATTTTCATACTCACGTAGAAAGTAAAATTTTCTAAGGTGGCAATAATGAGCTCAAAACTTGCAATAAAACATGAAATTACTGTGGAAGTAACGCGAGCTAAACAAGAAACCAAATCGATTGACAATGGTCATTCGACTAAATCTCAAAATTCGTGTTGTTTGAAGTAATTTTTGAAATCCTAACATTCGGAGTTTTTTGCATATTGAAACACTCAAAACCTTTAATTTCCAAATAGCAAACTCGATTATTCGATGGGTTGTCGACTATTCAAATTCGACAAACTCGACTATTCAACGAACACAAAATTTAGTGGTGTGGCACTTGATAACTTAATACTTAACTTGATAACTTGTACCGTATTCAAATTCTATGTTGCGAATGAAGGACTGAAAATATGAACGAATTTTCGCAGCCACTTCCTAATTCATCACCGAGCTGCACCTCATTTGAGTTGGACCTTACATTCTTGAAGGAGGCGTCTTCCTTAAATGTGGTAGTATAGTAATAATAGTGTAATAATAGTGTAGCTTAATGATGTATGTCACAGGTTACTCCGTGCGGGGTACGTACTAAGCGTGTACCCCATTGGTGGCCCGCTTGCGTTGGCGATGTTACGCTGCCTGCCACTGGTGTTAACTACAACTACGCACTGCTCAGCACAGGCCTTAGCTACAATCTAATCTATTACCCTTCTACTTATGGTCGCATTTGTGTGTGCTCTGCTCTCCTACTTGCTACAGTATACGCGTTGTGTACACTATAGTGAGTTTATGGAGAGATCCGGATTTATGCTGCGCTTACGTCGTACTCTTATGGTTACTCTGCATGCAATAATGTGTATGATACTACGGATCGGTGGGTGTAGATTTCTCACGGGGTATGCTCCACACATAGTCTTATCCTACTACAACACCTCATGTGTTATATCAATTGAGACACTCCCTCGTAGCTGTGTGAATCTTGCAACAATACA